AACTGTTCCTTGAGTTCCAGTCTTTTCATATACTTCCATCGGCACGGCAAAAATTGTGTGCGCTGCAGTCCCAATATTCTGTTTCAAACTTTGATAAGCAGCCACCATTCCTATTTGAAGAACAAAAAACATTAGACACCTTGAAAAAATTTTTTTAAACTTGAAAATTTACCTTCACTTATGTCTGCGGGTTGATTAGCATATTTGCTGCTAGATTTGCTAGATTTTTTATCTTCGTCGCTATCAAACTCTTCATTATTGTCCGCATTCGAGCTATTACCTGTTTGGGACTCAAAAGAAAGTATTTCTTCCGCCTGCTCGAGTAATATTTGTGTTCCAACGGCAAGTTTGGTACCGTATTTAATTGCTTCCATGGTGGTTGCCTTTGCAAAAGACTGCGTTCCTTTCTGAAGACCTGTACATAATTAAATAGAATATATAACCAATTCTCGGGATTGTCCATTCACGTCACGCTGATAATAAGATAATGACAAACCTTTAATAATCCTTCCATCTTTTTTGTATTGTTCAATAGGTAGCAAGATAAGATCTGCAACTCCTGAACCTATGTTTACCAAAGACCGTATTGGAGCAACACCCGATACAACATTAGGAACTTGCGTATTAGTTATATGCGGCAGCCATGCTGAACCCAAGTCTTCTAATAAACGTGATACACCTTTAACCTATCAAATATACAAGTATAAAATTATACTACTAGAAAGACATAAAAAGTGGATGGCAAAATCGAGAAATATTTACTCCTGTTAATTTAAGGCCTCTCAATGTCATTTCCGCAGCTTCAAGATGGAAAATATTCATTAATTCAACCAAATTGCCTTCTTTTAAACTAGAATAATCAATATGTTTTGGTTTGTAGTCCAACTTCATTACAATTGGTTGAATTTCGAAGAGTTCTTTAAAGTGTATGATAAAATAATTAACAAATATTGCAAATATTATATAATGCAATAAAATGGTTAAATATAACTTACGGAAATATGTTTCGTCTTCAGCATGTTGCTGAGAAGAATCGTTGGTAGGACCCCGGTATGAAAAAAACTTAATCACAAAATTTAATGCATCCTGGTCGATGTAAAATCTTAATGGTAAAAGTTTGGCCTATAAATGTAAACAATTGTTAAGAGAAATCGAATCGTGCAAATGAATGGAATATCTGAAAATTATATAATAACCTTTAAACGAAGCTCTTCAACAGGATCTGTTAGAACAGGATATTGGGACTGCAGCGCACACAATTTTTGCCGTGCCGATGGAAGTATATGAAAAGACTGGAACTCAAGGAACAGTT